ATTTGCTCAGTTTGAACATAAGCCTTGAACCTGAATGTCAAAGAAATGCCAAATAATAACCGAGGATGATGTTTCACAAAATCTACCTGTGTCCATGCTCAATCGTGTAAAAAAAACTTGTTGACAAAAAGAGGATTTATCATGAACCAAATCTAAAATGGTGGATAAGAGAAAAATGAGACATACACTGTAACTGTCTCAGCAAATTCTGGATTCTGGTAGGTAAGACCATCCCCTCTCCAAGATTCAATGGTAGCCCCCTCTTATTTGGCAGTTTGGTCACCATGGTGAGATTACTGTCAAAGATATAATGTATTTAACAATAATATTTTCCTAGAATTTTGAAATTCACACAATGTAAACAGGGGAATAGTAGTAAAGACTATTATATTTAGCGAAACAGAATTTTTCCCTCCTTATATTGGAGTTCATTTTGCCCAGGACACTCAAATAAACTACAATTCAATGAAAACATACTTTACAAAATAATTCAAAGACACTTACAGTAATTCATTTCAATGCATATACCAGATATGTTTCAATCAATTTTTCAGGGAAGGGCTCAAAGTTGGCAAGCCCTCAACCCCTCCTCTGGCTGTAGACCTGAGTAGTTACAGAAGACAGTATGTACACTTGTATATTTGACACAAAATCATACAATTATTTTATCCAATTAAGACAATTATTTATTGCTGTAAATAAAACATTTTACAACTTTTAATTATCAATTAATAATTATCATGCCTCTTTAATTGGATACCATTTCTACAACCTGAACATATTCCCCATAGAGGATTGGCTCATCTTTTATTTTTACCATAGAAATGAACAAAAATGATATCATCTATTTTTTATGTGATTTTACATTTCTCATGTTGGCCTCATTTTCACAAAATCAGCATAATTTTAAATGATCAATTATGCCCTTTACTTGCCACATTTAAATTGTATTGGAATGACCACAAGACAAAGTGAACATTTTTATTGATGATAATTAGAGTTATTAACCTCTTGAATCCCAGGCTTTAAAATCGGTTGAAACCAGAGAATATTTCATTTTTGCAACCTTTTAACACTTTACTCCATACTTATACAACTTTAGATGCTCAAATTAGTAAAATTAGATGGCATAGATCATTTCTACACAAAACATTTTTTTGTGTAAATTAGATGAAAAGTGTTCAAATAAGAGCAATTTTACTGAAAATCTTTGTGACGAGAAATCTCGTCACTCCAGGTAGTCAAGAGGTTCTACAAAATTTGAACCTAAAATGGATTTCTGTAGCATGAATATATCAAAAGTTAATCATGGGAGCCAACCCTCATTATATATATATATATATCCCTTAACGTACATCCTTCATTTACCTATAATTATATGGTGATATTTGTTGTAAAACAACAATAAAACAATGTCTTTAACATATTATTATATAGTACATACATTTATATACAAATGAAATTCTTGCATATACTTTTTAGTCAGTTGATTCTGATTTTTTCTTTATTACGAAAATATATTTCATGCATCAACATTATATTCACATTGATTCACGATTGGATAGTGCCCCAAACATAAGTTTGTAGCAGACTCTTAAATGTTAGTGCTTTCTCAAATTATGTTTGGGATACTACAGAAATTTTCATTAAAATCTTGAAAAAGTTACAATGCTGACACTTGCACTCATAAATGATAAAAATTGCAGTACAAGATTAAATCAAAAAAAAAAAAAAGTTAAATCATGGACCATTGGATCTTGAGGGACAAGTTCACCCTCAATCTAGAGACAAATCTCCCGGGATCTAACCAAAATACAAACAAAATATTTTATAGTGACCCGAGCCCAAGATTTTTTCTTTTCCGGCTGAAATGATTAGATCCCCGAGAGCCAAGGGTCTTCCCCAAAGAATATAACTGCATACGATACATATATATTTTCAGAAATGTCACTTTCACTTTTCGTCTGTTAACTTTTTCAACCCGTTTACACGAAATTATTCACAAAATAGTTGGGTTAACACAACCCTGCCAAAACATGGAATGTTTTTAATGTATTCTCCAAATACAGCAATATGTCAAATTAAGCCCAAAACTGCATACTGCAACACAACAGCAAGATGATTGAAATCTTACTTTAAGTAAATATTGTCTTGAAAGTTTATAGTTTCAAACTACTTTCAAAGCATAATATTGGGGTAGATCAACATGAAATTCACAAATATGAGATAATATTTAACTAGCTATGACATATTTAAAAAAACATTTACCAGAATGAGACTCTGGGGGCCAAATGAGCTCTCCCCTCTGAGAAATTAAGAGTCCCTTCATGATGAAATCTGGCTTCTGGCTTATGTATTTCATTGATATGTACTCAAATGGTGATATAAGCAACTCTTCTGGCTCTTTTTGGCTCATTGAATCGGTCATTTACTGTGCTTGATGTAAATCAAATCAAACTACTTTTGCGTAAATGTAATAGTCTACATAACATCTTTTTCTTAGAAAATCATCAAGTATTTTACATCCTATGCAAGATATAATATTACTAATCATTTTTTAATTTACATAAGCCTTGAACATGTAGTTTAAAGCTCTTGGAGCTCAAGTATCATACATAAATAATCTTTTAGCTGACAGTCAGTATAAAGCCAATGTACCCATAGTATTTACTTTTTAACAGAAGGAGGATATGACTGCAATTTATGGCATCACAAATGGAGTCCAGAAGTAGATTTGAATCATTACATGTATATACCTGGCTAGCCTTGCCCAAGTCGGTCTCTTTACTTCTCTTGATTTCTATTATGGTAATAATTCAAGATCAGGATAAGTAAAAAAATACCGACTTGGGCAAGGCTAATACCTGGCGTGATTTAAAAATTTGTCACACCCAGTTTATTTGACATAGACAGACAATTGTGGGCATTAAGCATGAGAGTGAGAAAAATGGAAAATCAACCAAATATTGCTAGCCACATACAACTCTAATTGAATAAAACAATTTCACTTGTGAAAGATGCACAGGTATTCATCACAAAACTATATTGTATATAATTTTCAATATACATGCATAATCACATGATGTTTAGCATACAGTTAGCTCTTCAAGCTGAGGTGTATGGTACATATTCTTATGAACTGTACACATTATATAATGTATAATGGGCATTTCCTGCATACAAGCTACAAGAAATGTAATATGAGTAAATATTTACAGTGCAGTATTATGTTGCAGTTTTCACAAAGAATACATGCCTCAATGAATAGATATCACAATGAATATATGCCTCAATGAATAGATATCACAATGAATATATGCCTCAATGAATAGATATCACAATGAATATAAGCCTCAATGAATACATATCACAATGAATCTATGCCTCAATGAATATATATCACAATGAATATATGCCTCAATGAACAGATATCACAATGAATCTATGCCTCAATGAATAGATATCACAATGAATATATGCCTCAATGAACAGATATCACAATGAATATATGCTTCAATGAATAGATATCACAATGAATATATGCCTCAATGAATAGATATCACAATGATTATATGCCTCAATGAACAGATATCACAATGAATCTATGCCTCAATGAATAAATATCACAATGAATATATGCCTCAATGAATAGATATCACAATGAATATATGCCTCAATGAATAGATATCACAATGAATCTATGCCTCAATGAATAGATATCACAATGAATACCTCAATGATAACATGCCTCAATGAACACATAGTTACATCAATGGAAAATACATGCCTCAATGAATATGAAATCCAATGAGCTTTGTTTCTCAACAATTTCTTTAATACAATTGCTATTTTTAACTATTCAAAATAAAAGTTCTTAATATTCACAAGGTATGTAATATGGGTGATATTTTCACTAGAAACCCGCAACACCCAGACGTAGAGTTCACTTATTTTTGTAGAATCTAAAACAGAAGACTAAGAAAACTAAGCTTTTGATTTGTAAATAATTTAGTCATAGTATTGCATAGGATGTGACCTGAATACCCGTATGATTTACCAGATTCATCTTTATCTAACAATAGGAGAACATCTACATTTTCTGTCAAATGGAGATAGTAGACAGTGAATCAAACAATAAATAAACACTGGTCTACTGAACAATGTTCAATGAACACTTCTGTGGAGTTGATCTTCCATCTTTGTTCACTCGTCTCCTGTCTGAATGCAGTGAAGACCGAGCTTGTGAAGATGCATGATTTCAATGTGTTAGAGCTGGTTTGCTATTCAATTTTCATTTGACTATGTCTGAAATGCTTCCGAATCACCCAGATGATATGTAAAGAAAGACATACAAAATCTGACTTTTGAGTCTGTGATTTGTTTTAATTGTTTCTAGTCTTCATAAATTCAAAATTTGGTTCTAATCTAAAGCCAAGTTCAACATTTAACTTACATTTTTGTACAATTTTAGCTTTCTTAAAATAAATATGTAAAAACATTAAAATACACATCTAATTCAATTGTACACATCATGCATAAAAATATACTAAATGTGGAGTCCAGATTGTTTCTTCGTCATCATAAATTAAACGCTTTGATAAAAAATTTTGATTTGCCAAAATAAAAATATGTAAAAAAATAGTACAGTTTTAGTCAAGTTAAACCATACACTTGAGGTGTTTGTTAAACACAATTTCCATAAAATGTTTTATTAGTACACCCATTTGATTAGAGTTTTACCCAGGATGAATATGTTCAGTAAAACCTGTAAAAATGTTCAGGAAAACCCTTTAACATGTTCAGTAAAACCTGTAAAGTGGAACACCTCTGTAAGTAGTACACCTTATTACATTTCGAGGTCCTGCTTCTCATTCTTTAATGTAAAATGAGCCTCTGTACATGGAACACCTCCAAGGTGGAACACTATTTTGAGGGACCAAAGCGTTCTATTAACACAGGTTTTACTGTTAATTGTGTGCTACTCCCATATACTACCCAACAAGTACTACAAATTGTACATTACAATATCTCTAAAATGTGTTCTAATTCCCACTTCTGAGTGTCTTTTCCCGAACATTCTTTGATTTTTACTCCCTGACCGTTGCTAAGTCCTTCTGTGTCCAGGCATAAGCCACTTGCATGTTTTATAGTTTTACTGATCTACAATAAGAAAAAAGAATAAACTGATGAAAATAAAATCATTTTTTGGGGCAGTTATAGTCTTCAAGCATGAGACATAGTCTTTTCCATATATGTCTAGGGTTAACATATTAATCTATCTAATACATTTTATAAGATATATTGGAAAACCTTTAATTTTGATATCTGGAATGAATGTGTAGTTCACTTGCTAGACCTATGCTTCATCTCATTTGTGAAAACATATCATATTTCATACACAACGATTCTCATTTTAAAACTTTTTAGCAAACATTCTCGTGCTGTAACAGTCTCTTCAGTATTTAATAAAAATGTCATTTTTCTCCATGTTTTCCAAAATAGGATACTTCTTTTCTAATGAGCAAAAGATCAATGTGTATGAACTATAATATTGACTATTTTAAGTACAGAGCTTTAGCGATTTTATGCAAATTATTGAAAGAAGAATAAGACAATTTATGAATCATTCATCCTCCGATCACAGGGCTTCAAAATCCAGAATATATTCTTTCTTTTTACCCCCTGCGATAAGTAGTTAGCATTTCCCCAATTAAGAACTCGCAATCTGATTGGCTGTCGCAACACTGTGACAGAAATCATGTATAAGGCATTGCGCATAATTAGATCACGTGATTCAGTTTAATCGGGCGCTTCCAAATTGGTTACAGCAGGGGGAAGAAAGAGGTACGGATTCTGGATACCTGCTTAGGAGGATGTGAATCATTTGGCTTAATGGATCCAAGAAAAATTCCAGAGTTGCTTCATTCCAGAAAAAAACGTATAATGTATTTAATCATAAAAATACAGACATATATGTCTTATAAACTTATAAGACAACTTTCTACTTACTTTGTCATATTTAAAATATTGGTTGCTTTTACCCCCATGGCAGGATCGCAGTACAACATTTGGATTAGAAGCTGATGCATCAGCACATGTCTCTTCACGACGCAGCTCTCCAGCTAAACTCAGAGTAAACACCTGAAAATCATACAACCTTGATAAATGGTTAAGTAGTACTACAACAAGCATAAATAACTCACAGTATTACAAAAATTCTCTTGTTATATTATATAAGGTCATGGTAATGTAAACAGTGTGTTAGAAAGTTGCTCCAATAATTAGAATATACATGTAACCTCAGTACATTCAATAGAAATTTAATTGCAATATGGGTACATGAGATTGAATATTGATGTTGCATTAACAGAATGGTTCATGGTGCCTTCATAGAAAATTCTAAAATTGTGTAATATCTTGACAAAGCATATGACAAAAGTAAATTCTCATAAACGGGGCAAAAGTAGTAGTCATGTGAATTTTCCCTCGTCCAAAAATTAACGGATAAACAAAAGGACAGATAAGTGGGGCAAAAGACAGATTCAACATAGTACTATGATATTCATCCTTAAATTTGGGTATTGTTTTTTTGGCCTAACCTGTACAACCAATAATAAAATATATTTTTCACATCTGATTATAAACCAACCAATCAATTTCAATACTTTCATCTAACCAACCATTAAAAAGCCAGAGTTTGTAACTAATAAATATCTTACAATTTGACAAATACAAAACAAAGAAATGAAAATATGAAAAGCTTCAGATAACAATGGAAAAAATAATAGTAATGAACATATTGTTAAAAATATTAAGGAGTAGGATCTAGAGGTCTACATATGTTGCACAAGAGAGGAAACAAAGGGAATAACACCTGGGATATATTGTCCTGAGGATGAGAAATATTGTCCTGAAATATGGGATCCTGGGATATGTTGTCCTGAAAAATGTTGTCCTGGGATATATTGTCCCGAGGATGAGAAATATTGTCCTGAAACATATTGTCCTGGGATACATTGTCCTGAATATATATTGCCTAGAGATGTAATGTTCAGAGAAATATTGTCCCGAGATATATTGTCCTGAAATATTTTGTGTGGGTTGTCCTGAAAATATTTTGTATATTGTCTTGAGATATATTGTCTCTTTATATTGTCCTAAGATATATTATCCTGGGATCTATCGTCCTGGGATATATTGTACTTAAATATGTTGTCCTGAGATACATTGTCCTGGGATATATTGTCCTGAAATATGTTGTCCTGGGATATATTGTCCTGAAAAATGTTTTCCTGGGATATATCATATATTGTTCTGAAATATATTGTCCTGAGATACATTGTACAGAGATATATTGTCCTGGGATATATTGTCCTGAAATATATTGTCCTGGGATACATTGCCGAGAGATATATTGTCCTGAAATATATTGTCCTGAGATACATTGTTCGGAGATATATTGTCCTGAGATATATTGTCCCAAGATATATTGTCCAGAGATATATTGTACTGAGAGATATATAGTCCCTAGATATATTATCCCGAGATAAATTGTCAAGGGATATATTGTCCCGAGATATATTGTCTGGAGATATATTGTCCTGAGATATATTGTCCTGAGAATACTGTCCAGATATATATTTCCTAAGATATATTGTCCCAAGATATATTGTCCAGAGATGTATTGTCCTGAGAAATATTGTCCTGAGATATATCGTCCTAGGATATATTTTCCTGGGATATACTTTCCTGAAATATGCTGTCCTGGGATATATTGTCCTGAGATATATTGTCCTGAAACATATTGTCCTGAGATATATTGTCTCCCTGAGATATATTGTCCCAAGATATATTATCCTGAGATATATTGTCCCAAGATATATTGTCCTGATAATATTTTCCTGGGATATATTGTCCTGAGATATATTGTCCAGAGATGTATTGTCCTGAGATATATTGTCTGGAGATATATTGTCTGGAGATATATTGTCCTGCGAATATTGTCCTGGGATATATTGTCCTGAGATATATTGTCCACTAGTGCCCATAGAGGCAATTCTTACCTGTGCATTATTTCCAATTTTAAACTTAAAATAAAAATTGAGTATACATTCTTTGTTCTTAATTGCTTCATTTTATTAAAAATATAATGAAATTCTATAATTTTTGTTGAGTTTTCTTCAATATTAAAATGTTAAAATGTTTACTGCTACTTACTTAAATGGCAGGTAAATACATTTATTGAGTGAATAAGAGAGAAAGTGATGGATAAAGAGATGTGAATTTTGATCACTTGTATAATATACAGAAGACAGGTCATTCAAAATTTAGAAAGAATATTTTACATTTCAAATCCATTTTATTTTCTCAATAGATACAATGCACATAGTATACCATACACTCTGATAACTTAATAACATTAGTGGCAAGATGAATACTTTGTTGAAGCAAATAGTTTAGCTACAAGCCCTTGCGAGCTCCCCCCACTGCCCAACTCCTCACAATGATGCGTGGTGAAATAGATAAGGCGGGGGGGGGGGTCCACAGTCTTGAAGCAAGACTAATAAAACCTGATCATTACCTCACTGGCACTTGCACCCCCTTGGCAGCTGTATACACCTATAGGTATCACTTTCTTCTCATCTTTCCCAAGGGTATCCAGGCACATGTTGCTGGAGGGGTTTCTCACCTAAAATCATTTAGAAATGTTTTATACTATAGTAAAGAATGTGTACATGGAACATGCTTCCTGCTGACAAAATTGTTCCCAGTAGACAGGTGCTCCTAACAGAGGAAATCATTTGACATGTAAGTCAATGGGACTTGATTCATTGAAAACTACATGAAGAGAGATGTTTCTCACAGAGAGCTGTCCCATCTGACAGATTTTACATAGTATTAAAGGAATAAATGCTCATTTTAATGAACAGTATACCACTTCTGATTCTGAATTCCCTTTAGTCATTTGTAGAGGACAATTCAAATGCAAACAATGACACATATTTGTAAAGCTGAGTTTCTTAGCAGTTCACTTACCATGCCATATGCTTGCACACGTTCATCAGGAACATTTTTTTCTGGATAAATATTTTCTAAATACCACTTGAAACTCTTACAGTTTAGCTTCTCGCGGAGTTTTTTTCTCTCTGATATATCTCCTACATCTTTATCCTACAAAATTAAATAATTCATTTTAACAGCAAACTAACTTTCCCTATGCTTAGTCAATATATTCAGTTACTTATGTAAAAAACAATTTATTTAAAAATTTGACTCCCTGTTAATATCAACTACCAATGATTATCATTGTTGTTTCTCATTTTGTGATTGGTTGAACTTGCACATGATATTTTCTTGTTAATTGGCAGTTCAGTGAGCCTTCACTGTTTTTTCATGCCTCTCTTCCAGAATAAAGCCCTTAACTTGTTCTATCTAAGTGAATACTAAATGTCATTTTTAAAGGCAACATTTCTGTAAAAAAAAAACAATATCCTGTATTAACAGTTTACGACGTTTGCCATGAGCCTGGCTATGCACATACAGTCTATAGTGGTTTAGAAAAGTCTTAATAATGAAAGATTAGAGAAATCTTACAATTAAATCCCTTCTGTGCATATAGAAAAGTCTCTTGTATTCATCCATCCACACTTCAGCTAGGCGTTTAGAGTTCATACCATGCCAGTCCTCCTTCCCTACAGACAAAAACAGAAATTTAGATGCAATAATGTACAAGTGTATAATCAATAAGGCTAAGCAGTTGAGAAGTCATCTCAACCCGACTAAGAAAAGGACTTTAATTGGCAGGCTCTAAGCAGGGCAACCCCCCCTGGCCAAAAATTCTTTCAAAATCATGCAGTTTTTTCTACCATTTTGAGCACTTCTTAAGTGATTTTAGCCATATTTGGGCCAAAATTGTCAAATGTGAATCCTCCCTGGAAACATTTGAAAACTGAAGCCCCCCCCCTTGGCAAATCCTGGCTACGGGCCTGATTAGTATACCAATTAGGATCGTACCTAGCTCCAAGATCCTGTGACCCCCCCTCTACCTAACTACACAGTCGTCTCTGTTTTAGTGGGGGGGGGGGTCCACAAGGCCTTGCAGCTAGACTATAAACATGGTATATCAATGGAAAATAGGAAATTTGAGACCAAGATGTGTTCCCATTGAGAGGTGCTCAGATATACAGCAATCAGATCTCTCACAACTGAGTCAATCATAAATGTTTTATATTTTTATTTTTATTTACTCATGTAGTATAATTATCTCGTATGACATTTACATCCTGACTTGGACTTGGAGGTAATTTTATAGTAAACAGCAGTTACATTGATTTTATGTTGATACTCTTAACTCAATTAAATTTATTCATTAATTCCTTCATTAGTGATGAATACATCTACTCTTGATAACAGGTGATGTTTATGCAAATTGCTTATTAAGATATACTTTTCAAAAAATTCTTTTTTGCCTTTCAAAATTATATATATATATCATGTATTGGCAGTCATTTTTAAAAAGGGTAAAATTGCATATAAGATATATCATACAATGGCATAACCCCGGGGGTTCACTATATATACACCTTGATGGATGGGTATCCTTGGCGCACATGGGGCACCTTTTTTGACATTTGGTATGGCAATGGACCCACATTTTAGGATCTGGTTTGAGAATGCCTCTGAAATCATCACTTTTGAGATATAACAATTGCCGGATTTTCAACTTTCTGGTATGAGAATGGTCTTGAAAAATATGTGACCTCACACTTGTGGTATGACATTGGTTTACTTAGTTACACCATGGGCTTTCAAGGTTACACATATCTTTAATTTGAGGTTGTTTTCAATAATTTTTCTCAAAGATCTACCTTCTTCTTTTGACTTCTTCAGTTTGAATATTAGTTTTTTCCCTTGTGCTATGGCATTGGTCCTACATTTGAACAATTGGTATGACATTGATCTTATATTTGGAGATTTGGTATGGCTTTGGGTGTTATTTTGGTTGGTATGAGAACACATTGAAGTTTGACAGATTGGTATTGGAACATATTGATATTTGAGGGTTCTGCCTAGGACCCTGGGGCATAACTCAATATGATCAATATAGCATTGGCTCACCATGAAAGCACTGTTGCACAATATTGCAAATTTTGCTTAAAATAACTAGCATTTCTTCTAAATCTATAGCATTCAGAGGTAACCTGGAAAGTGAACTCACACCAATCAATCACCACATCAATGTTATCCCATAAAATATTTTGGAGCCATGACCTCCTTCTTCAAGTCATCTGAGCTGCTTTCTAATATTTCTTTGTTTCCTGTACATTTTAGCTTAACCTCTTGACTACCCAGAGTGATGAGATTTTTTGTCGCCTAAGAAATGACCTTGAAACCTAGAGTAGCTCTAAAAGTAGATTGACTTTGAAAAATTGTCAAAAGCTGGCAAAAATAGAAATAAAATTCTCTGGTTTCAAACTGATTTTAGAGCATGGGATTCAAGATTAATGAATCTGTATATGTCACAATGTAATATTTACCATCTACTCTACCCATATTTGCAGATAATAAAAGACAGATATTAAGAGATATTTCAGAATTCCACCGATTTAAGCATGGTGACCATTTAAGAGTTTAAAAGTCACAAATCATAAATTGAGCACTTTGAATCTTGAGTAATTTCACCAATAATGAATTGGTAGCTAGGTCAATTGTACACGTTGCTTGCAATTTTGTCACCCCCTATAGATCTGATTCTGCCTTTAAGGTTGCCTATTTAATCCTTTGATAACATGATCGATTATGACCACCATCTACCCATTCAAGATGCTGATATCTTTCTTCAGTCAATTGTTCAATTTTCACTAAATTTATTTTCACAAGACCACATAGTTTCATTATGTAAAATAAAGAAGTTATGAAGCAGAAATATCTATTGATCATTGTAAAGTGATAGCCGGTCGCTGGTGCCCCACAGGCGTTCCATTGAAATGGTATTAACTGGGGATTTAACTGCAATTAACCATGGTAAATTGGCTCAAATCTACACATGTTTTTAAACTTGCCCGCTGGTGTACCTATGGATCTCGCAGGTGGTTCAAGTAAATATGTTGAAGATGAAGAGAATGAGGAAGACGAAGAACTTGAAGATGAAGAGCTTTCTAAAAGTTGCTGTATCACGATAGTGGCCACCCTGAATCATTTGACCTTTGCTCACAAGTATAAGCCTGCTTTTGGATACACACGGTGACCATAATCCTATCACCAATTTGCCCGCGGTACAAGTAAATCTGTTTTTTGATGCTCGTGCTTAAAACGGATTAATTATGACGCAATCGTATCAATTTCACTTGCTCCTACGAAAATGCATTTAAAAAATTTAAAAGGTTAAAGAAATATTGTTTTTGAAATATTAGGCTCAAGTTTTGTCTCAGAAATTAGCAAATGTTTCAAAAAACAAACATCTGTCATAAAGTATTGTTTCATGAATAAATGCAATATGTGAAACATTGGAAGTGTAATATACAACTTAACTCACCCATATCATAAGGATGACTGGCCCTGAATATATGACCAACCAAGTGTAATATACAAACTAACTCACCCATATCATAAGGATGACTGGCCCTGAATATATGACCAACCAAGTGTAATATACAAACTAACTCACCCATATCATAAGGATGACTGGCCCTGAATATATGACCAACCAAGTGTAATATACAAACTAACTCACCCATATCATAAGGATGACTGGCCCTGAATATATGACCAACCAAGTGTAATATACAAACTAACTCACCCATATCATAAGGATGGCTGGTCCTGAATATATGACCAACCAAATGTAATATACAAACTAACTCACCCATATCATAAGGATGACTGGCTCTGAATATATGACCAACTCTTGAACATGGAATGAACTCCAGAGATCCTCCACACATCCAAACCTAAAATGAAGGATAATTAATTAAAAAAAACAAAAAAGGCTCAAAGCAACAAAAATACAAAATATATATCTTTTTATTGACTCTTAATCATGTCAGTCTCTCCGGCATATGAGTGCAGTTCAATATATAGTTTTGCACTGATAGACCTACCTAGAATTATAAAGTTTTCAAATCAAATCAAATCTACAAGTTTTTAGATGTATTTTTGCATGGTAAGATGTCTCTATTTTGATTTACTATTACAAGTTTCCATACTAGAAAGTATATTAAATATTAGTTCAAATTAGAGATTTTGCCCATTTTTACAAATTCGGACAGAATATAAGATAAGGAAAAGAGGAATATGGTTCTAATTTTGAAAAAGAAAAAATTTACTCACATATGAGTATTTCATTTATATATTACCTGTTGAAACTAAGCTTACCCTGAATGATATTTCCAAGTTCTCCCCACCCCACATGTTCATGCCTTCATCATAGGATCCCACCTCAAAGAAGTACTTCCTGTCAACAGCAAACAGTCCTCCTGCCATGGTGGGAGACCTGAAAAGAAAAAAGAAAAAATGACATTTTAAGAAATACACCTGTGTCAACAAAATTGCAAATATCAATTTATCTCGGTCATTATTGAGAGTCTATGACACAAAATTAGTGTTTGGTGTAGATAAATGTAACAAAGATTAATACAGTGCATGGTCACTAAATAATGAACATTTTTCAAACACATACAATGTTTCAAAAAACAGGGTCAGAATTCAATTTTGAGGGAATGGACACAATAAGTATTTAGGTGCAACTCTAGAAGCCCCATCTCTGAAATAATTCAGTTAATCTGAACAATATTGTAAATTGAGATTCCTGATGATGGTTTGTCTTTCATGATGCAACTAAGACAATCTCCTATAAAAACAAATAGATATTTTTCAGTAATCAAAATATCTTTGAAAACAAACCTTATAGGATCAGTGAGTTTTTTACGTCTAGCAGCTTCATGTGAGGGGATACCATGCCAAGAGAAATGCAAACTCCACCAAAAGCCACCCACAGAACTCGCCCCAATTCCACTGTATGACATGGAGTGAGAATCGATGACATCAATCATGGGACACAAAACTGCATCACGTTTCTCATGGATTCTTGCTAACAGAGGCTCCAACCTGAAATAAAGCAAATGTTTGATAAATAATGAACACAAAACAGAGTGAGCGAGAGATGAAGGCACTTATTCTCAATACATCAATCACAACTCATATTTCTCACCTATAAATAAATGGCTCGGTGTAGATATCTTATATGGTACGAGTGAAACTAAGAGATGAGGAACTCAGAACCCTTGGAAAGACTGCCTCTCACAACAACAGCTAATTGGAAAATCATTGTAAAGAGGGAACATTTAATCTTACCAGCCTTCATTAGCTTCACAGTGGGAATCTAGGAACACCATGACGTCACCTGTAGCAGCCTTGGCGCCCTCTAAACGGGCCCTGATCAACCCACATCTCTGTTTGGCACGGACAAGCTTAACAACACCATCAGGCCAGGTGTCTTTGATATACTCTTCTAGTTTTGGGCCTAACTCCTCTGAAATGAGAAAAATACAAAATGAAAGGAGTACCTTGTAATATATACCAGATAACTGTTATGTGTTATACCACAGATAACTGTGAATACTGTTTGGTACATTTTGTTATACCACTCTAAGTCCAATTACAGTTGTATAACATGGGTCTATAACAACGATATACAGTGGAGAGTGGTATATCGTCATCGTATACAACTCCTCTGTATACACTCCAGCGTATACCACTGTAGAAGTGCATTCTGGGAACTAATGAATAAAAAAATCATGAAAATTTTCATGATTTCCTAGAATCAAGTGACGTCATAAATGGTTCCGGCATGATTTGCTAGAATCAAGCCACGTCATAAATGGTTCGAGATCAACATCAGCATTATTGAGTTGGCTATGGGATATTTTTAGGGTTTTTAATTGTTATGATTGTGTTCGAATCAACTGTAATTGAACTTAGAGTGGCATAATAAGATTATATAATGGTTCATTCTGTATATCGTGCATTTTATACTCTCGTGAGAATATTATATATTCACTCGTTCGCTATGCTCACTTGTGAATATATCATATACTCACTCGAGTATAAACACGATATACAGAAAGAACCATTATATAACCTCATAATATACATCATTCCCTCCTCTACGTATCTCACCTCTGGAGGTGAAGTTGATAGGCAGTTGGGATCCAGAGACAAGCCAAATGTAAAAAAGGGCTGACGAAAATGGAATCTACTGTCAAAATGACAGGGTCATAGATCTACTTCTTCATGAGTAAAAATCAGCCACCTTTTAAATTCCATTCCTTATCAATTTCATGCACATGTCAATATTGGTGATTTAATATGCATTGATAAAACACCTTTTGACTTTGAGACTAAGTAATATCATCATCATTATCTGTTAAAGTCATTAGAGATGAAACCATTGAGACCTTGGCCTCGTAGGTGAAGCTGAGACAAAAGGTTGGCACGCATTCGTCGCAAGGTTGTTATTTAGCTAGGATCCATAGCTCAAAATCACTATTCAATTATTCAGTCTACAATAAAATAAGCTGATATCTGCAACACTGAAAACTAACTTAAAAATTGAAAACGTATTAATCGTGCTGAAAATCAACTCACAAATGTGAACAGCTTTTCTGGAACACAAAAGTGTCTATAGACAGGCCCGTAGCCAGGGGGGGGGGGTTCGCAGGGTTCGGGCGAATCCTGGCTACGGGCCTGATAGACTTCCAAGTTTTATGAATCAATCAACCATAATCCTTATGTCAGCAGTTGTTATGTTATAAGCAGTTGTTATTCAATCCTTTTTAGTTTATTTACTTAAAACACAGACTCAATCTTTATTATTAACAATTCTAAAAGTAATTCTTGGAAGCAGATGTTCTGAACTTATTTCACTGACAAAGAGATCTACTTGACTTTGATGATAAACTGCTTCTATTGCATGGATCGTTGAAAATGAATCCAAAATAGCTATATCACGGGTGTTAAGCCACGATGGTACCATGAGCACATGCTTTGAGGATCCGCGTTGTTTGAACCTACCGCCGAGCTCACTTATACATTAAGCCCCGTTACACAGTCATGATACCGCCGAGTAAGCTCATTGCATCATCGGGTCTGCTTTACCCCCGTGTATATGATTCTTCAATTGATTGAGAATATTCTAGAGTTGGTCTATTGCTCGGTTTGGTTAAGGCTTCATCTTGTGATCTAGCATCCTTCAAAAGTTCACTTATTGGTTTTTGATTTTAACATTACTAAACAAAAGTCTATAAAGCTGGAAAAATGTTGGAAAGTCATTGTTAGATTGCTGCTAAATATATAGCATCATGAGCAGCAGGCTTATTTTGAAAATGAGGCCCATTTTTGAAAATTTAAGTCCAAAAAGTCCTAAATATATATAAAGTCCAAAAGTCCTAAATAATAGCATCATGAGCAACAGGCTTATTTTGTAAATGAGGCCCATTTTTGAAAATTGAAGTCCAAAAAGTTCTTAATATATAAAGTCCAAAAGTCCTAAAACCATCATGAGCAGCAGGCTTATTTTGGAAAATGAGGCCTATTTTTGAAAATTTAGTCCAAAAAGTCCTACCGTAAATATATATACAAGTATAAAGTCCAAAAGTCCTAAATAGCATCATACATATGCAGCAGGCTTATTTTTGAAAATGAGCCACATTTTAAAAAAACATTTTGAACAACTTTTTGGTTTCTCTTCCTCTTTCCCTCCCAAGAACTTTTTGTTGTTGTTAAGTAATGTAATCTACAATAGGGAGTGGCTAAAAACTGAATAGAACTATTCTGAACCATTTACATACCATGATCGCTAAAGTCATCAAAGAGGACCACCTCATGCAGATATTCTGGAGGTGATCTGTTGACCACACTATGTACTGTCCTGAGGAGAGGTGACCAGCGTTCATTTGTAAATATTATGATCACACTTGCAGAGGGAAGGTCTTCTGGATATGGTATTTTCTTACAACTGTAAAAAGAAATGAATATAATAAGCAATAGAAATTGGTTTCATCATATAAAATCACAACTTGATTATTTTAAATGTAGTTCGACTCATTGCTAAAGTTCATCAATATTTAATTCTTAAATAACAAAATGCTCTTACCACACTATAAATGATAAGAAATCATTAAAATACAGTAAAAAGACATACTCAATACATAAACGCCTGGAAGTAAAGTGATTAATAGTAATAATAGGATTTTATTAGTACTGATGCCCTTTTAGGGCCAAACGTACATCCAATATACAATTTTCAATAACAGTAAATATAGGCAATAAAGTAAAGAAAACAGGATTACATTCTTCAAATGACATATAAAATGTTACTTTGATATAAGAATCCTGTCTCTACCCATCATTAGATACTTTATCATGTCAGCAGATTCTTTTAATATGATCCCCTCACTCGTCAATAGAAAAATTGTCTTTTGGTGGTCATTCATGTTTTTAAAATTACGACACAGGTTTTCAAGTTTTTCAATATGGGATTTTCTGATAAACTCCAATTTTTTACATTTGAATTATCTCCATCAACTAAGTCAGTGGGTTACTTGATATTATTTTTTCAATATAATAATAATATGCCATTAAACATAAATAAATTAATGACATCTGATGCCATATTAATACAAATCTCTTCAACATTGTGAGTCAAACTGTGACAATATTATTATCATATTAGCTTATCAAAGTGGACTAACAGTGTCAAAACTATTTTGTCTGTCTGGGATAAATGAATATGTTTCAATAAACCCATGAGTCTATTATTGAGTATGTCAGAATATGTTAACTGGACACATTTTACAATCTTTCTTGGGTTATAATATGGCAGCCAAAAACAAAATTAGGTCACAGTTACGGTGACCTAGATGCAAGTTGGTTATCTCCATCAACTAAGTCAGTGGGTTACTTGATATTATTTTTTTCAATATAATCACTTTACCTTAATATATATTTTGTATATTTAGTTGTATCTTTATTTCCTCAATTACATATCCAACTATATATTAAGATGAACAACTGCCAACAATCACTTTTCATCTTATGAAGGTCAAATTTGTAAAGTTCAAAATTCAGTTTCAAATATCTACCTTTAAATAATAATATCTATCTGCTCTGAAATGCCTTTATATTGCATAGCATAGTTTTGAGATATATAGAATTGATTTTACCCAATTTCGCCATCCAAAACTCCAGATGAAAAATATACCATCATGGTGATGAGAAATATCAAACTGAATATAAAAAATGATCCAAAATGTTATTCATCTTTAGATTTTTATATCATCTAAGATCCGTAGAAAATATAACCATATTAGCATTTTCCAGGAGCAGCTTTGATAATAAAAGCGGGACACCACCATGCTCCCTACCATATAATACCAAAATTGTGACAATAATGACACATTTTTTGTGCAATAAAAAGGAACTATTTTGAACACAATTTTAAATTTTGTGGTATGCACTTTCATGGAGAACACAAACCAAAGCAAATAGCTCAAATAGGCCCTCGAGTGAAGCAAAACATTTTGGGAAACATACACATTTATCAAATTCGCTGAAAGCCCATGAAATGGCAAAGGTAGTGCAATCCTAAGAACACTTCAAATACAAATTATATTTCATTAAACATGTACGGCTAAGTACACCTTAACACTGTTAACAGATTGTATTAGTTTAACGCACAGCAGTGTTTGCTTAATCTATGGATTATTGTTTAAAGTATTGCATGGTAAACCTAGCTATCGTTTAAAGTGTGTGTAAGACCAGAGACCGGAAGAATTTCCTTTTGTTTGGATAATCATGAAATGTGTAAATGTGTAAATCTTTCTGAAGCAAATGTTCCAATGAATAAACCTGATGTGAGTAGAAATAACCTTGATTTATGTCATAAAAATCAGCCAAAGTGATGTCATATTTGAAATCTACATGTAAGTTCAAAAATGCAGCCTTAAACACTCCTAACCCTACTATCACACCAAACTAGTTCTCACTACGTTCTCGAAAACGAACTTCAACTGTGTACGAACGGATTTGGCGTACTAAGAACCCACTGAGAACCGTTTGGGATCTGTTTCAAACTTCATGAAACTACTAGGAGGAGTAGGACCTCCATAACTTAGAGCATGCTCAAAATTTTCTGGTGATCGTCAAAACGTTGCCGAATCGGTTTTAGACTGTGTGCGAACTGAATGAAGGTAGCTTCAACGTTCTACGGTCTGTTTACGAACTTCATGGACTTTCCCGGACGGGGAATGTGATTTAGAATCTTGAATAGATTCAAAATTCGATGGCGACCATACCGTTCTGTAATCAGGTCATGATGACCTTCTAGACTAAGGGACGCGTTATACGACGTTGCACACCGACGTGGTGCGACCTGAACGCACTGCGAATGAGATGGACGTATTGAAGACTGTTTATGAACGAAGTAGCTAATTATTTTAGACATATTTCCCGACCACAGCCAGATTGAGCCCGTTTTACGACGTTTTCGTAGGACTGGCAAGAACGGGTAAGAACTAGTTTGGTGTGATAGGGGGGTAAACATAATATGCACAATGTTCAAAATTAACGCTTATCTGAAATCAAGTGCCCTACTCTATTTTGTATTACTCCAGAATCGGGAAGAAGTAATTTAGGTGGTTTGAAAATAATTGTTGCTTGATCTATCTTTCTAATACTGTCGTATCTTACAACAATATACAATATACAGTATTAAAGCATATGTCATTCCCTCTTCAGTTTAAATTAATTCCATTTGAAACTATTGACATGACATTATGAATCCATTCATTGCAGTAAGAGTATTTCTGTGAATTCATCTTCTTTGTTGTCTTAAAGGTAACATATGTCTCTGACAGAATTTTCTCCTCTCTCAACATGATTGGGAAATAAAACAATTTATTTTTACTTACATTGATGTATTTAACCACTGTCATCTTGAATTAATTCAGCAATAATACTTTCAGCATAATTTCAATTCATTTGTTTTAAATAATACACATATATCAAAAAGCATATTTGTATTTTTTAAAGAATAGAGACATTTAGGATCATATCAAAACATTGAGTAAAACCTGTAAAGTAGAAGACCTCTGTAAGTGGAACACATCTATAAGTGGAACACTTTTCCCAAGACCAACTGACTTAATGTTAAATGAGTAATAAGTAATATAGCATAATGTATGTGTTGCTTAAAATAATATTTGAACTCAATCTATATTCAGTTTGTTTCATATGGCCATGAAGGTGCCCCTGACCCCCTACTTTTGCTAGGACTTCGACCTTGCATACCTGCTATGAAAATCCGGCTTATGCCGCAGGATGGACTGATAGACAGACTCCTCTAAAAGAATTTTGTATGCTGGGATAAAATAATATATGATGTAGTAACGTAGTTGTTAAATGAATACAATCAAAATTAACTTAAACTAATCTAACATTATCATGAAATATTCCCACAAGTCGTGATAATTAAAAGCCCATTAAAACAAATTATACCAAATGCAAGTCATAATATGATATCGAACAATATCAAAATCAATTTGTACCTTTTAACATTAACATCCTTAATACAGACTCTTATCATTCTGGGATCCACAGCCTTTACTAGTCTCTCAAAAGCGTTAGGTAAAGAGGGACTCTGATAAATCAGAATGGACTCATATCATTATCCTGAGTATTTATTGGAAACTCCATTCCCGAAATAATTTTGAAAAGAATCTTACTTGATCATTTTCCAATAAAGGATATACTTTTTTTGTGTTCGAGCATTTTCTCCCTTACTGTTGTTGTTTTCGCACATTTTACATTTTTCTTTTTCTTCAGGCAAACCATGATGGTTAATTTCTAAATTATGTGTTCAGCTAACAGAGAAACGTTATGATCACAGGACATTTTTGATTTAATATAGGCTTGAATAATACCAATTATAATAGAATATCAATATAAATCTTGAATATGATAGGACTTTGATCGGTGTTGTGTCCAATTATTCAATTCAAAAGCTCTCATGTTCTTAAACATTTTTTATAGATAGTTATCAAGTAATTCTTATTAATCAAAAACAACAACATGCCTCTCTGTTGAAAATCTTTCAAAAGAATTGATATGCTTAGGCCAAAACAGGTAAAATGAGGAAGCGAGAAAAGATAATATAGAGGTTAAGACATAGTTATAAGTAATAAGCGGGGGTCAAGCTGAGCTTTATTGAAGGCAATATCTATTCTAGTGCAGACTCTTTAGTGGCGAATAGGAGTATAGAGGGAGATAAATCAATCTGCTTGCAGACATCTTCTGCCACTTATAAGCCTGTGGTCTACTGAGCTACATTTCCAAAAAATCCATTCAATTTTAGAAATTTTTTGAATCATTTCATTTTTATTGTTCATATTGCTTGCAATTTGGTCATCCACTATATCTCTGAGCCTGCCTTACATGGGAACCATGACTGAAAGTTATTCTCAAAAAGGGTGAAGGATCTCCATCTGACTTTTACTTTAGATTAAAAAACACATAATTTGAAATTGTAGGAAATATTTCAATAATTTCTAGCCAAAGGAGTGGTATCGATATGGTGAACTTTTTGAACACGCATTTCTCTTAAACCAGTCATTAAAACATTCTGAAAATTTTACACATCATCAATTTAATGGTCATCTTTTGGATGGTAGCATTATAATTTAAATATATATATACATATATCCTTTTCTCTATATTGTTTTAGAAAACACAGCAGACACTTCTTTTGTTCTTAGTATCATATGTTCGGAATGAAATGAAACATCTATCCAAACCTCATTGGAACAATACAACATAAACACAATGTATTTAGGTCTCTCAATATTGTAATTGTACAAAGGAAAGTTTGGTTGGTTTTAAAAAAGTACATGTATATTGTTAATGATATAAAAGGTTTATCTTAATTTTTATCTATTTTTTTTGGGGGGGGGGGGGTTGTTT